TAAAATCTAATTTAGAATAATTTAATATTTCATTTCGTTCGTTTCTAATTTGGGTTTAAAATAAATTCCCATTTTATCGCGATTAACCGCTACAAGCTTTTAGAAAAAACACCTTTCCTCTGGCCTTGACGTATTTAAGGCCTTTTGCACGTTTAAAAATAAAACGTGTCGATAATTAAAACCAAAAATTATCTACGTGACGGACTTCTAACAGCACACAAGGACATCTAAAAACAGCTTACATTCTATGGCAGTACGACTATCTTTCCGATATATCTTTTTTCTATGATGGTATTTTACTTCTTTTTCTTGCCAAGTGTCCATAATATGGAAACACTTTCAATTACGTAGCACAAAAATCCCGTACAACTATTATTTTAACGTCTCTCGGCAATCTTCGGATTTTTGAATAGATCCGAATACAAATAATTAGATTTATTATCTACAATAATTAAAATTCAGAACTATAGCATTAGGACTTATAGTAGAGCCCTTGTGGAACAGTTTCTTCAGAGAAGTACTGCCACTTATGATTGCCAATAAGCAGTTATGTGTTACTGCGTACCGGTTTTGGAGGGTAAGGGTGCTAGTGAACTTATGTCTCAGGGTAACAGGCGCAGTGGCAGTGTCCTTCAGATCTTTCCGATTTATAGCTCTGACGTCCATTTGCACTAAAGTTACATACGTCTGAGAACAGTGTTTTGTGTTAAGAGTCAATTTAAACTCTGATTTAAAACGTTCCTAAGCGGACATTGTTGGCAACAAAAATAGTATAATATAAAATGTGCTAAACCGGTCACTTCTTCCAACGTTCTACTTGATCATGCAATGTCTGTGCTTCGGAATATTAAACGTATAAAACTAGTGCAAAATAGCGAATTCTTTATCAAAACTACAATCCACGTAAGGCTCCCAACAGACATGAGTGTCACTGTAACTGCTATGGACAGGTGTGTCACGTAACACCAGACATACGATTTGTTTGTTCCGTCTCTTGGTATCATAAAAAAGAAAACTGCTGCCCATTTTAACCGACTTTAAAAAGGAGGAGGTTCCCAATTATATTGTATTATTTTAAGTGTATGTTGAGCGATTATTTGTGAACCGATTTCAGTGATACTTTTTTTGTTAGAAAGAGTGTATCTTAGTATTGGTCCCATTCAATTTGAAGAAAATATTCCACCTCTAAGGGTGGTCAATTAAGGGATGAATTCGGTTTGGCGCACTTTCCGTTAACCGATTGCAATAAAACTTGGCAAATAGATGTACGATATGATTTCACGAACTTTTGGGGTTGGTTTATTTTATAAAAGTGTTTTTTTTAATATATACCTAAATAAATTTTAGAACTAACTACCAAAAATAAAGAAAATAATTTTATAATTATCTTCTAGTGTCATTTTGGCAAAATTATAACCACGTTGGTTGCTACGTTGTTATCAGCATCCAATTGGTATAAAGGATCGGTAACATAATGACAAGAAATCAACCCGAAGATTGCCGAAGAAACCCGAAGATTGCCGAGAGACTTCAAAAAATTGATGTACTTACTGCATATGAGATTATGTACCAGTGGCAAAGGATGAAGATTTGAAAAAGATAGAAGGTACGAAGCAAATGCACGACAAAATTCACGAAATATTTCATTGAACTAAATAGCCAATTTAAAGATTTTTTCATGCACGCCGTAAAGTGGTAACCCTTTGCTACTGGTACGCGCTTATAAAGAAAAATATACTTACAAGAATTAAAAAATATCAATATGTGTTCTGCTCCAAACTGACATTGAACAATTATTTCTTAGAATAAATACATAAAGTTGAAAACAATTGCATAAATTCTAAAGTAAAAATACCAACCACATATTTATTACATTCCACACTTCATCATATGAACGTTATTAAAAAATAAGCCTTAACTACAGCTACGAAAATTATAAAATTGTATTTCTCGATACTTATTTACAAATATCAGTATTCTATGGCCTTATTAACTTTCATGTAACTTTATTGTGATAAACAATTAGTTTGCCTAACCGAATAGTTCAACTGTCTCATTGGATGGTCTGTATTGGAGAATGAATGCTCCAATTGGCTCATTTGAAGTTCGAACGACCATAGATAACTTCTAATTGGTGTTCTCGTATCTCGTATCTCTAAAGATATATATATATATATATTCTATTCGTGCATTATAAGTTCGTACACTGAAAAAAAAAATGGATTTAAATAAAGTGGATTTTTTAAATTGAATCAATCACAACTTGATTAATTTCATTACTTGTACCCCCTCCAACCATTTATTTAACTTTTGACAGCTCGATTTCTAATCAATTAGTGATGTCCTAATGCGTTTCTGATTCGAAGAAGTTTTAATCGTAAATGTGAGCAAGTCCAAAAAATAAGATATCGTCTGATTGGGATCGTAAGGTTGCTTTTGACAATTTGTGTACTTGAGAATAAATAATTTATTATAATAAACAATAAGAATTTATTATAATTTCTTACACCAAAATTTATCAACTTGAATAATCTGCGTTACATAATCTTTCGGTTCGATAAATATCGGAGCTAAAGAGCACGTCGCTTCATTAAAATTAAAAAATAAAAAAGTCCAGGAACTATTACATTTTTTATCTATGGTTATACGTCAATAATTATTGAACTTCGCATGCAAGGCATGCAAATTATCGAAAGTGAAATAAATAGATGGACGTAGTATAAAATGGAAACAAGTTACATTATTACAAGTTGTTTATTTTGATCACTTCTTTTCTTTTCAGTGTACTCCAAAAGCAACTGTCTAAAGATGGCTTCCATTGGTGTTTCATACACAACGGTGCTCTTACTGGCACTCAGTTAGCCCAACGCGTTTTGAACTTCCTATTACAAAGTAAACTATCCAGTTCGACATTAAATGTAAAAAATGAACAATAAAGTTACAATTTTCTAAAAATATGCGTTGAACACTGTGATTTAAACCAAATAAATACTTACTTGTGATTTTTTTTTTTGACACAAAATTATTTATTCGTAGCAATAACACAAAGCAACTAACTAATAGATAAATATACAATTAACAAATTACTTTCAAACCGCTCTATAATCTCAGTGTTATAAAAGAACATAACATATCCTTCTCTATGTACATCTAGCACTTGTTAATAATAATACAACATCATTTTTATCTGCAACTTGTAGAAATCACTCAATCGTGCGATCAAAGGTCGTATCGAAGTTGTGACATGTAAAACTGCCAAAATAGCTTCCTAAAATAGCGATGTCAAAATTAACAAACGCTGTCAATCGTCGAGTTTAATTGGATTTTGGACACGAACATAGTTTATTTTGAGAGCTAAAATCTCTGTTCTACATAATCCTATAACATCATGTTGTCGTGGCTTCGAAGTTTTACAAGACTATTTGCCTGTTGTCATGAAACGTTGTCATAAAAGGAATTTTTCTGTTGTTAATTTCTTTAATTAAAACAACAAAATATTGGTGTCTAGTTCTTAGGTTTTTACTATTGTTACACATAGGAAATGAAGTAATTTTTTTTTATCTAAATAGCGTATATTTGTTTTTTTTAATAACCAACGTTTATGGCTCTTTAAAGGTTCCATGGTCAGTCCCATAGTCAGCTGTGACCATGGGACCTGTAAATATCTTCCAGGTAAGATGAAGAAGGTGTTGTAAGTCAAAATACAATTTTTCTGCATTTTAATTTAAATATATCATTTTTTGTATATATATACAAATGTATATATTTTTTATAATATCAAGTGACGGAACGAACAAGTCGTGCGCCTGATGGTCAGCTACTCGCCTGTCTATAACAGTTCCAGTGCCACTCAGAGATTTAAATCGCAATCTGAGGGACACTGCCACTGCGCCTGTCACCCTGAGACCTAAGTTGACAAGCCCCATGCGCCTGTAATTTCATCAGCACCCTTACCCTTCAAAATCGAAATACAGTAATGCTGACATTACTGCTTGGCGGCAGAAATAGGTAAGCTGGCAGTACTTCCTTCGACGATTATCTTTCACAAGGAGCTCTCTTGTACTAAGATATATATAAGCTGGTATATATAGATATATATAAACTTTCAAACACGGAATTTCATATACGTAAAACAGGGATATATTTTAGTTAAAAAGCTAATAATGGTATTTTGACTTACAGCTTACCTGGGAGGTATTGGTATGTTCAGTAAGTAATTAATAATATATCATCCACGGGCTATCCCTGATCAGTATTTTAATGTACCGCAAACATAAACGTGTTGTCCCGCACGTCCGTGTCTGCACGGAGAACGCTTTACTGAGGCATTTGTGGAAACTATTATGACTCATTTACAACGATGTCAATGGACTAAAGGCGTCTTCACATTATACGCTTATAGAAGCGCAGCGCATGTCGTGCGTCTGTAGCGCTTCAGTAATTTTTAGTTCACTAATTGTGATTGCAAAAGAGGCGCGCACGTGTCACGCAAATGGCGCTGCAACTGCGCTTCTAAATATTGTATGAAAATGGGTACTGGTGCTGCTGCAGCGCTACAGTGGCGCCACTGCTCCGCTTTTATAAGCGTCTAATTTAAAGTCATTGAATTAGCAGCATTTTTGTTTTAAAATAACATGGTATAGTTTTGAATTCAAATTTAGTAAGTTTTGGAACCAGAACCTAATGCTTATCATTCTAGAAATTCTTTCTATCATTTTTACATATTTTTAATTAATACACACCCATTTTTTTAAACATTTTTCATGCAAAAACAATACGAATTTAATACGTTTATAATGTTCGCTTACATTTTAAAATGCATCTATAAACTCTGGTAAATATATTTTATACACCACAGCCTTCAAGGCCTAATAGGAATTTCCTGTTATACATTTTGAACTATATTCAAATGCATTGGCAAAAAGGTGTCTACTTAGTGACAAACCGATGTGGAAATGCTGCGTTTCCACAGACTAGCTTAGACGGTAACACAACATCGGATTAATACCATCTTAGGTCTAAGAAAGTCATCTAGATTTTTATACATAAAATCGCTTGCTTTTGGCTAACATACAGCAAAATGTCCACATACAATTTAGAGTTTAATTAGTGATAGTTCTAAGAAGAAGTAATAAAGACATTCAAGAATTTCTAAAATCTATACATTTGAGCACATGCATCTCTTTTTCTTTCTAACTTGCATTTAATGTTATCGTTTATCGCGTTTTATCATGGCGCATGTTTATGATATTCGCACCACACAATTTTTCCACTTGTTCTACTGATATTTTTGCCTTTAAATTGACTTGCAGGTCGTGTAAGATAATTTTGATATTAAAATTTTGTACGGATAAACCCACCTCAAATTTTGATAGCACTCTACAATCATTTTTTAAACGTAATTAAACTAGCGTCGTGTTCGCATCGCTGATAATTTAACAAGTATTGAAAAGTGAATTTTGGAGATATTTTGTTCTCTATTACTGGATCCATCGAACACGTTAGGTCGCTTACTTTTCCTATCACAAATGCTCATGTAATTTAGGTTCTTTAGAACCCTTCAATGATGTCATAAGCCTCCAGGCTAGACACGGTAAGATAGACAAGCCATAAAGAGAAAAAGAACATGGAAGTAACAATTTTGATGTTCTTCGGTCCTCCCAGCTCTCCGCCGATGGATTTTCGTCTCCGAAGAACCAAGACTAGAACTGCCAATAAAGCCTCCGAGCAGAAAAGGGTAACGCTGAAGGCAAGCCTGGTAAAAAAAAAGTATATTATAACTAGTATGAAAGGACGAAAAAGATACAGGGAGAAATTAATTTAATTGCGAGAATGCTCTTAATACAGTAGTGCTAGTGTTATAGGTAAAATTTATTTATTTTTGTTATCAAACAAACCAACGATTCGAGCGTATTACAGATGCCAACGTCACTGCTGACTGAGATGGTAAAGTAATCAACCACTTATCGAAAAGTTACTTTGTTTGAATTTAATAATCACTAGGTTAATTTTCAACTATAAGTATTAATTTATTATATATTTATTTATTCGAGTATATATCGTGAAATATTAAATAACATTTCGAATTCGATTTTACACTGGAATATTATGTAATACATATCGAGTTCTTAGGTTTTTGCGATTGTAACCTAACAATGTTTCGGTTCCTTTACAGGTCACCTGTAAAGGGGTCAAAACGATGGTTTGTTTGAAAAAACAATTATAGGTATGTGATTTGGGTCTCAAAAAATAGTTCGATTTCCAGTGTACATAATGAACAAAATGTTTGTATCGTTGATGACCCAATAAAACAGTAACCCAACAAAAACACTTCCGATGCACTATAGTTACAGAAATTTTAAAATAATTAAATTCCCTAGGTGAAAATCCTATCCAATTAAGCAGAAGCATGAATCCAACAGAATAAAAGACAAAACAAATTACGTTACAAAAAGGAACTTCAGTAAAAAGCGCAAAGAATCAGCGGAGTAACTAACTTCTCAATTACAGTGGCAAGCTAATTTGCTCTCAATGGACGTGAAACGTGGAACCATAGCTACATGAACTAATCAAACAAAAAGAGATAGATTTCTTTAATTATACTTTGAAAGCAACACGGGTAGGAGAAGTTGGATTGAAGTCACTTCTTGTTCGGACTTGAGATTTTTTAAGCCGGGTACTCGTTAGCGAGTTGTAACTGTAACGTGACTGTTACAGTGACAAGGTTCAAGTGTGTACGTGTGAAACAGTCTTTACTAGCTAGAATGAGTACCTGGATATCGTCGGCTTATTACGAGTCGCTTAATAGCATTAGTGCACATTCAGCCCATGAGGTGTAAATTCGGTTTATTTAAAATATTGTGTATTAACCCAGCCAGAAGTCTTCTTTAAGGATAAAGTCGAATTTTGAATTCGATATCTGATTATTAATTAGTTAACAATCTATCAGCTCATAATGACATTTTAAAGAAATAATGTTGTCATGCAGTTTAATTATGAGTTTGGTTTCATTCTTAACGAACTTACTGAAACAGAATTATAAAAAAAAGTACATTTTTCTCTTATCACATTCTTTTGAAAAGATAATCATTGATTGTCTTGATGACATGCTACATTATTTTTTATTTATTGACAACACTATTTTTATTTCATTAAAAACTGGCAACCCACTAAACGTCAGTTTATTATCACTAATTAAAAGTCCAACAATAGAAGATATGTTAACAACATTCATTATTTTAATTAATATCGACATGATATTACCCAGGCTTGCTGAAGGAGGCATTTTTTAGCTATAAAACTTACACAATTATCTATGACTTGTTATCGAATAAGTTTACCTTGTTTATGTGCTTTGTTAAAATAACCAGGTAATGATTTTATTCTCTACGCAACATATATTAAAAAATATAGGCAATTTTGTAACTATTAACTTACGTTCCAGGTTCCACGTTGAACTTTTCGTTCTTGCTCCAATGGACGATGGCGGCGACAGTCCACGCTACTCCGATTCCGAGGAAGACATTTACAGCGTTCGATCCGGTGACGTTGCCTACTGATGCGTCAGCATACTTGTCTTGGATCGCTGCAACTTTACTGGCAAAGGTATCTGCGAGAAATTTGATATGTTTTTTAATCTTACCAATTCCATTTTCGTTGATGTGATCTTGCGAAAATGGAGCATATAGGATGCTTTTTTACATTAGAGTGAGTCTATCCCATATAAGATTTCCATAATCACTAATATATAGTATAATAAACACTAATATATTATAAGACAAAATATTAATACGTATAAACTATAATTAGAAAATTAAATCGAATTTTGTAAGTTTATAACACATGATATTTCAAATTTGACGGATTGCGTTATTTAGGCTTGAATGATTTCTATAATAGCATCAAATGTAGGGCCTAGTATTGTTCCTTGATAGACGCCTAATTAATAACTCTGCAATTTAGAGAAGACATTACTTATCTTCTGTTTGATTAAATAGTTAATACAATAATGTTCTCACCTGGTATACTCGTGCCTAGTGCGACAAAGATGATGGCAGTGACAGCGTCCTTGATGCCCAACGTGCAGCCGAAGTGGGAGGCCACATCGCCTATGACAGCCGTTACCAGCCCGATGCATATGATTGATACTACGAAGCAGACGTAGCCACCTCCTATGTCTATAAGAAAAAAGAATGATAATCAAATCCATTTTGATTACTTGTGTCCTCTAATAGATAACCCTTGTTTAGTAAAATAAAGATAGAACGTCAACACTTCGTATCTATCTTATTTTTCCAAGTTTATTAGCAATCTTCTAGTAGTAGCAGAGCTTGTTAAAGAATTCGTCCAGGGAAGTATTGCCACCATATCTGTTTCTGCCACCAAGTCGTAATGTCAACTGCGTACCAATTTAAAAGGGAGTCGATGAGTCACATGGATCTTGTAAACTTTATATCTCGGCTATCTTTACGATTAAAGCTCTGAGTCTTACTGCAACTGTTTAGTCGTATCGTTTACCACCAGGCGCACGACTTCTTCGTCTCGTATATTTTATTTAATGACATGCCCGACTCTAATTCAAGTTCGTAAAGTACATTCTGAGGTTTTATTACATTACTTCCTGCTTTCATTTATTAGATTTGCTTTTTTTGGGTTAAATACTTGGAGCTAGTAAAGTTTCGATCTAAAACGAGGGTAAAGACTCAAAAGTCCGTAGACATAAAGTACATAAAAGGTGTTTTCTGTGCCAAAAAGCCAGCAGTACGAAAATGAAGTCAAGAAACACGTATTCTTCAATTCAAATAACACGTTTTGGATTTGCCATACAGTTTTGTCCAAAGATTTATAAGGCTTGTTGTAAAAACAGGAATATGTCGCAGCAAGAAGTTTGCGAAAATTAAAAAGAAATAAAACTACGTAATCTGTCCAAGAGAAAGAGCTTACCCGTAGGAGGAATTAAAGCGAATATAAGTTTCCAGAAGACTGTTACGATGTGAAGTATGTAGTCCGACCACGACGGCGGTTCATCAGGGTCATCCGAACCTGTAAAACCGCAAAAAAAATTACAATACCGAATTTGGTTAAAATGTCGAGTCAAAGGGTTTGTCCGTTTATTACTCTGGAAATGTTCAATGGGAGGCTGAGAATAGACGCACGTGTACGTGATTGAATTTTTGAGAAAGGTTGAGATACGCAATATGCTCGTAACAAGAAGTGCTTGTAAAATCTCTAGCCTTTCAACCAATTTACTATTATTGAGCGTGCCTCGCCAGTCGGCCTGATTAAGATATGTCTTAAGTTAGCTAAAATGAAGTCTTTACCTGAACTAGCAGTCAATGCTTCCGAGAACTGCTCCTTCCAGGACGATGTGCCTATTAATATTGAAGCATTTGCTCTCTGTACTAGTTTGTCTACTGTATTCTGAAACAAAATGTAATAATTAGAATTCCCGTTACACATAAAGGCTGCCAGTCTTAGGGTCGTATTCCACAACTCTACTCAATGCTCAAGTCAGGATTGCACTGGAAATACGACCCTAATGGCAAGGACTTGAGTATGATTTCGAGTGCTTTAAACCATACTCAAATCCTGACTTGAGCATTGAGTAGAGTTTTAGAATACGACGCTAGGTGTATTTTCGCTTCTCGCAGAACAAAAATTAAAACTCGGCGCGATCTCAAAAATCCCTTTTACTTCTGAAAGAGCCCTAAGCCGAAATGAGTGATGGACGCGTGTGTGGCGCAAAATAAAATAGAATAAACTACGTAAATACTCGTGTATGTGTTCATTCTGTGTTACTGTTGTGTGTTATGTAGGTCAAAATACCTACTGTGTCCGTTTACAGTGTGGTGCCGTAATTAAGTAGCAAAAAATACAACTCGATTGCTCCGAGTTGGGTTGTGATGAAACTGGCGCGGGTGGACGCAAGCAATCCGATAGCACACCGCGGATACTCCATACAACGGTCGAAAATTATTTACCTACTACTACTACATATAGCACACGCGCAAATGTGTGCGTGAAGTGGCAGGGTTACCCATCACTTTCTTGCACTATTACGATAGAGCGGCAACATAGCGAAAATGCTAACGCGAATCTATAATTCTAATAATAGAATGTAGCACAGATTACTATATATACTTTGCAGAATCCTAATAATTACATATGTCTATTATGTATTTATATCGATATAATATCATATTTTTCATTAATTCACTTCCATTGTAACTTTGCTACACCCTTACAGGGTATGACATGTATAAGTTTATCATCCATGTGAAATGCAAATAAATGAATATGAATACTTAGTTAATCATTAGGTATATTCGCTACTTACGTATATTATTCGAGAACCCTTGTCTACTAGCTCACGAAGTCATGGTGCCTCATTATATTGATGTAATTAATCTGTATTTTTTATACATACAATAACTGACTCAGAGTCGTATTCTAGAACTCTACTCAATGTTCAAGTCAGGATTTGAGTATGGTTTAAAGCACTCGAAATCATACTCAAGTCCCTGCCATTAGGGTCGTATTTCCAGTGGTTGTGTTTCCAGTGCAATCCTGACTTGAGCATTGAGTAAAGTTCTAGAATACGACCCTGAGTCTCAGACATTTTTTTTTACATACTTCTTGTCATCTTTCAGAAAATGATGATAAATAGTAACGAAAAATGATGTTTTATATTAACGTACAAGTTTCGTAATGAATAAATGAAAAGTATATTCAAAGCCGTTTTTTGCGCGAAAACGGCTCGCCGGCAACCTTGTTGTCGTTCAGTCAATGTGACCGGCAATGTGCGGGGCGTGGTGCGGTGTCTAAACCTAGGGAGGGGCGGAGAGTGTCCGTTCTCTTTACTTTTTGTTATCTGCCGATAGCTAGCACAACGCACATCACTTTTGGTATTGTTTACGTTTCGAATTTGAATGCTGTCTTACTATTGTGTTAATTTAAGTAGCTTACTTCTTGTCCAGAAGAAACGCATTCGCCGCGAATCATCTTGCATATACACGTGCGTACATTGTGTCCAGCATGCTGATTTTGATTCAAAGCGGAATTGATCGATCGGGTAGCCCATCCGAGTCACGAAATCAGATGAGTTCCGAGCGAGAAGATGAACCTGATTCCGACTATATCTTTCTAACTTGTGACTTAAATCAACTTTTTGTAACCGATTTGTAATTTCAAAAGATCGCAATTATGCGCCTCGACTCAGAAAAGACGCAGTTTCCGATCGGGAGAGGCAATCAAAATCAAGCTGCAGAAGAACCGTTTGACGCGCGAGCATTTGAGGACGGATTTAGACAGTATTAAATATGAAGTTGGACGTAGCGGCCGGCCGACGAGCTTACCGTTATTTGAAGAGAACGGTTCATATGAACGTTGTTATCATAATTCAGCCTTGTTATCTAATCTAAATAAATATTTAATTTGAAAAAAGGGTGACGTCATTTGTCTTTTGATTTCGATTAAACGTTCTGGTATACATGGCCAGTGGTTCATATGAACGTTGTTATTATAATGCAACCTTTTTTTAGCGTCCCTTTAAAAAGTCCATGGGCTTAGTTACCACACTGTGATACTGCATCGAGACAGTAGGAGTATTGCCTCCGCATACAATTTTCGTATATCTACGGGTTCACGTACACAATCTTTATTTCATAAAGCATGAGAGCGTGCGTCGACGGCATCCAGGAAAATAAGCGAAAAAACGTCGTTACCGAACTACTATACTTTCATGTCACGTTCATTCATATCACCTATCAAAACAACCAACAGAAATCACATCATTAGCACTATTTACAAAGTTTGTTATTGCGAGAACTTTTGTAGAACATAAAATCCCCCGATCCTTGCCATTCAGATGCGGCTAGAGATGGACAAGTGTCTGTGTTTTAACCCAGCACTTCGTTCAGTCGGCACCGGATTAAAATCGAGTTAAAACCTATTAATGCCTAAAAACGAAGGCAAATACTATTTACAACTGAATATTTGTTGTAAATCGAGTTTTGTTTCAATTTAATGATATTATTATAAAATGTTTACTACTTTCTAATCTAGAATATTCGATTTGCCTTTCTGAATTGGATTGAAAACTTATTGGTTCACTTGAAAATCGCATTGAAACAATTCGATGTAAAAAATCATCAGTTAAAACTGTGAGTACGAAATAGAAATGAAATTCTGAATTTGTGACACTCTTCCATTGACTTTTGTTATAGGTCAATGCACTCTTCATTTAAACATAAAAAAGACAAAGCCTACAATTTGATGTAATTTTTTGAATACCGAGCGAACATTTCAATTCTATTAGGAATAGCGTGCAGAGACACACGCTATGCAACGCGAGCGCACCGCAAGATTATGTGGATGTGTGCGTCCATACAAGGCGCTCTGTGCGCGTGCGTTTGTAAAGACCTACGCCACTTGCCTTGTTACACAATAATTTTAAAGTACTTTAATCACACTATATATTCACGATTCTTTTTCTTTGAAAAGGTGGGCGTGGGCGGGGACATTACGAGAATTGACGAGAGGCGCTGGACAAGGCGAGTACTAGAGTGGAGACTCCATGTGGGCATCAGAGAGCGCGTCTGACCACCGCAGGATGGACGACATCCGACGACACGGAGGTCGGGACTGGATGAGTCGGGTACAAGATCACCAAGAGTGGAAGAAGAGGGAAGAGGCCTACATCCAAGGTTCGATAAGAAAACGGCCGCCATGATGTTGAAGACGATTTTTTTCTTTGTTATCGTTATATTTTACTTTCGAATGTGATTTCATGTTACAAATACTGTTAAATAAGTCATTACTTCTTAAATTCTTCTTCTTCACAATACCGTTTCAAGATTACGTAGTAATTGCCAATCAGTTAGTTGCGTGATGCGTATCGGGGGCAATTTCCTTTAGATAACAACAGTTGAGCTTTGAGTAAATAAGCCCAGGTGGTAGCGCACTATATCCTTTTCGAAATAAACACTAGAGGCCTGTTATGCAGGTTATTATATATGTTATAAACTATACCATTATATTATTTATACAAAAACTGACATTTGCCTTGCCGTAATAACTGTATCTATCTTTGACAAAACATTGCCAAATTTTGTTGTAAAAAATCAAGAATTTTAAAGGAATCATCACATTTAAATTATCGCGGCTTAATGCGATTAAGCCAGTCAAAAAAAGCTTATGGCAACAATGATGCACGTTTCGCGTTGGCAATCCGGCAATTCTAAACTAAAGTCATTTATTATAACTACGCTTGCTGTATGAAGCCTTAAGTACTTTATTTGGGAATATTGCTTTCTTGAAAGTGTATCACGCTTTTCTAAATCCAAGGTTGCGCGGCGGGAGAGTGCGGCCGGACCACCTGCATGGTTAAATTTTTCGTAATCTTTTAAGGTACTGTTAATTTGGTTATATTACTATTATTTTGTAGTACTGCATCTGAGTATTTATTGGTGGTCCAGCCACAGAGGATCATACACAGGAAGCGAAACGCGTGAAGTCTTTTTTACTCTTATTGCATGAACTTAAAGATTTTTGTAACCGGCTTAAGTCGATTCCGCCTTTAAAATGCGATTAATTTTGTAAAATTGACATTCATCCAAGCCTATTGGTTGCCATCAAGGGGAATAATAATGATGTCTTTTTTATTTTTTTATTATTCACAATTGTGAACACATTTGCGTCCACAAAGAGTTTTCCTTAATTTTTTATTTTTTATAGTTTTGCATATTGTAGCTTACAACATTTTTAAATTTAATATTTTTCCCATAGCCGCTCACGTGATACATGCAGCCGTAGACGCATACCACACCTAAAGGTGGCGGTGATGATTTTATACCGATTTAGCGGATATCGAAGTTATAACAGGTATAAAAACTAATATTAATTGCTATTTCGGTAACTACTCTAGCAAACCATAAAGTTTTTAATGCCTGGGTCTGTCATTTAAAAAAATAAACAATTTCAAAAATACGTCACGACAATCGTGTGTGTTATTGTTTGGGCTGGTGATTTCGGTGTTTATTTATTGAAACATACCGTAAGTAGCGTTTTTTAAGTTTACCCTGAAAATAAATGTTTATAAACTATACTTTAAGGAGTAATTTCGTGGTAAACGTTAGAACTACTCAAACGGAATATTATCATATTTATCCAAGTACACCAAAAATTTCATTAGTGCTTTTTAAGTGCAGGATTTGCGGTGTATTACTGCATTTCACTTGAGATATTTTTGTTGGTGGTACGGAGGGTATTTATTTAGCAATGCAGAATAATAATTTTTATTTATAAAAACTTGTATTTAAACTGAATGCTTTTCTAATTTGCGAAACCAAATAGCCGCCATTTTGCGGTAGGAGGAGCGCATCGCGTGAGCGGATAGACAACATTTCGACTTCAAGTAGGTAGGCATTACGTCGAAAATTAAAGTTTACAGTAGATCACGAATGTTGTATTTTTCACACTAATTTAAAAAAAATGAGTGGATGCCAAGAAAACGTCACTCGCTTCAATCGCTGCGCTTCAAAACTGTGAGTGTAAGTAATTTATTCATAACAGACATAGACCTTACTTAGTTGCTGCCATTAAAAGAAATAGTAATAATAATGCATGACCCCTGCAACCTTATAAATAAATAACATATTAGCTGTTGTCTCTTATCGAAATCAGCTCTACGTGGTCTGAATATCCTCTTTAGATTCCGCTCCCGTTTTCGACATAAATCATTCACATAGTTTTCCTGGGTATTGAAACGCCCTAATCCGATATAATG